ATTTTAATTATGTTTAATATATTTTCAATTTACTAGATGTTTGTGTGTCCATCACATGGAGAGTGTATAATAACTCCGTCCACACGAAAAGTTTGCTCCAAATGTCGGATTGAAAAATGTTTTGCCGCCGGAATGAGAAAGGTCATCATAAATACTTTAGATAATTGTTTTGCTAGTAATTAATATTTATTAATAATTACAGGAATTGTTGAAAATATATGACAGTATAGACAGGGATAGGGTTAAGACTAAAACTCATAAAGACTTGACACAAAGCAATGAAAACACAAACTCAACGCAATCGTCGCCGACAACTAACTCATTAAATAAATCACTTATTAATGATGAAAATATTAATGAATTCACGGATTTATTAGAGATGGCTATTAATGAAAACTTTATGACACATTCATCAGAATTTTCATTTAATGATACAAATCAAGACACATCTCAATCGGCAGTTATTCCCATATATCCAGTACTCACTGATTATAAGGGTTTGAATGATTTGGAGTGCAATCGGATTCATGAATTGATGAGTGCCTCGAAAATATTTCACTACCAGTTAAGTAGCAATATATTGATAAGCGATGACATGGCTGAGTTGGTCAAATTATTTTTGTACCGGGATGAGAGCAAAATTAGAGATATCACCAATTTTACTCAATGTTTGACTGGCTTCACAAATATGTGCCCTGATGACCAGCTATCGCTTGTAAAGTACGGGTGCATTGAATTGCTTTTAATGAGATTTCTAGAAGATTATGACAATGAAGCCAAACATTTTACTATACATGTTGTAAGTGACAATTATAACTGTATCATGCTAATTGCACATTTTCATTTATATTTAAATCCTATAATTCAAATGTTGATTGAAAAATATTTTATAATTAGTTTTATTAGAAATGTATGTTTGACTATATTTTAGGACAATGAGACATCCATGAGAGTTAAAGTCGGGGTATTTGGAGTTATGGATTTCATTTATAAAATATGGCCCGAATGGCACCGGGATTATGTTATATTAGAGCTGGTATTTACCTATTAAATGATCTAGATAATTGTGGATTAACTCTAAACTTAATCCATAGTTAATGGCAATCATACTTTTCAATCCGAACCGACAGAATCTAATTCATAGGCACAATGTTAGGTAGTTTGAAAATATTTTGACATATTTTATCAAATTTATAAATGATGTCATATTTATAATAGACTTGAACAACAACTATATATTTATTTACTGCAAAAATATCTACATTTAAAATACCGGTCGGAATGGGAATCGCAGTTAAGTCTACAGAAACTCATGGATTCAATGAGTGATCTCAAGATATCGGGAGAAACGCTTAAAAATCAAGAGTTGGCCACATATGAGTCCCCATTAAAACCATATTACGGACCATTGGTTAAGGAGATCTATGATTTGCAATGAATATATTTATTTTAACATATGATTTAAAATTATATTCTACAGTATAGATATTGTAATTAATTGCATTGTATTGTATTATGTATGTACACTGCATGTATTAAATTATTACTATATTTCTCACTTTAGATTTTATACAATGTGAAGTAAAGGTATTAATATAATACTGTATAATACATTTGTGGTTATAATTACTTATTTCTAATAATTTATCAATAAAAATCATTTAATTCATTTATTATCAAATAATATTTTTTATTTTAACTTAGTCTATAATATTTAGTTGTATTTCATTTTAAGCGCGAATATTTAGACAACCCTAATGTAACCAAGGTCATACCTATTAATTGTACACAATGTTAATACATGTAAAAGTTCCCGAAGCAATGTTTATGCTTGATTGGTATACATAGCAACACACTGCCATAATTGAGTTTTATCATGTTTTCATCATAGTATTATTATTTTATTATGATTGACAGCAATATGTCCTAGTTTAAATAAATTCAAAAATTAATATTGTTTACTATGTGTGATAAAAACAAAATATGCGGTATTTGTGGTCATAATACACGAATTGGTAAGCAATATTTTATAATCATATTAGCATTCCTTAAATTTAAATTGTATTTAATTGTATCTAGGTCGAAATTACGGCGGTATTACATGCGAGTCGTGTAAAAAGTTTTTCTTTCGAAATGCGCTCAACAATAAGGTGAACTAGATCAAATTAATATTA